ATGACCAAATTGCGAAAACAAGGTCAAACAACTTCTATACAACGAAAGGAGACTGCGACCACACAAAAGGTCACTCCATCTTGGTCTTCATATATTTGAACAGCGATATTTGATTAAAATGAGCAATTCGTTAGTATCGGCATACTTTGCCCCATAGTCAGTAGCAAAAACGATGAATGCTGAGTTAAATAAGTCTGGATTGGTGACTATTAGATTCTTTTGAGTTTCATTTAATGAATCTATTTGATGAAGGGTTTCATAGGGTGATATCGCCAAAAGTTGACATCTACTTTGCATTGATTGATTATACCATTAAGCTCATATTCACATATTTCACGAGACATAATCCTTTATCTCTAGTTCAAGTGGGCCTGGTGACTGACAACGCTGGCACTGAGCCTCATTCGTATGAAAACTTTAATTTATCACGAATTCAGGGCGTCTGACCGGTTCTTTCATGCATGTTATGTGTATACTCACAATAAAGAAGACAGAGCAATTTGTTTGATTTTTTCAAGTAACAGGTTAATTACGTGGATGTTCGGGTGTGTATGTGTATATGTGTAGTTACCGTTGTGCATAAAAAATCGAGATGCGAAAACACTGGCAAATAAAAGAGAAAGTAACCTCCATCTTTTTGATTACAGTTCAATTACCACGGCAACAGCATAATGGAGATTGCATAACTAAGAGGTCAATCACCTTTTATTTGGATTATTTCCCACAATCTTATGACCAAGACACACGATGCTGTAGAATGTCACTCAGAATTTCTTTTTCAAAGTTTTTCTAATCCATGCTTGACTGTGGTTTCGGCCTCGTCTCATCGCCTCATCAGTATCCCCAACGGGGTTCGAAATGTGTAGGGTGAATTACGGCCACACCGTCACAAGTGCCAGTGGGTCGCAGGGCAAATGTGACTATCAAAGGAAGCCAGACCACTTCTGAAGCATATTTGATGTATGATTGTGTATAAGCCAAACGTGGGATTAATATTCACAGTCAATAGTTTTCGTTATTTTACATTTATTTTTTTATTTTTTTATTCTATCCTTCCCGAAATTGATATTTTGAACATATATGCATATGTATTTGCTTAAAATACTAATTGAATTACGTAATGTTATTGTCAGTCTATGCATGCAACTTTATATATATATATAAATAATTTTGAGCAAATATGTATACGTATATGCTCAGGAGTTTAGTAGTGAATTAATTGCCTGATATTTATGTCAATTTATGCATATTCTCTTATGTGTGGATGTGTCCGTGTGTTTTTGTAGGTAGGAAACTCCGGTGATATTTTTTAATAATCAGAGTAGGAGCTTCAGACGAAATGAAAATCGGCACTTTAAACACCATAAGAGAGTAGTCAAAATACTTCGTATATAATATTGCTCCTTCCACCAACTCCTTCAGACGTCACTTTGCTATGGAGCGTTTGTAGAACGTGAGTTAGTGAACACCATCGTTATTCATCAAATCGGTACATTCATCGCCTCCACAATCGACTTAAACTCCTGAGTCTATTATATTTGCGCCACATGATTCTGTTTAAATGAATGTCCATCCGACGTGTCATCTGAACTCAAGTTATGCGATAAGCTGCAACTGTAAATTGACAATTAACATGACATTCCACACCTCCAGCCATGCCTCAGATTGATATCTTTTGGAAAATGGCTCGCATTATCAGTTTGCACGTTACCATCTTTTCTGGCTTCGCTATGCCGTAGTTGGGAGCCTGGGTCGTATCCTCCGGTAGACTCTTCTGTAGAACTTGTGTAGACATCGTTCTTAGTGCCGACCACGTTGACGTTGTTCGTTCGATCCACAATTGGCTCAGCAGGCATCAGCATCCCAAACTTAAAATGATCCATCCTAACCTGGATCCAAGTGGTCGAGCAGATTGCCGAGCAGTACGGATCAAGGGTCACCCTGGTTCAATAATTCATGTAATCCCTCCGAAGTCGCAACTCTGTGAAAGATGTCACCAACAGCTATGATGACATGATGAAGATGTGATAATCGTTTAGAAGAACAGGCGATCTCACCTCTTCGACTAGGCAATAACAGAGATCCTTAAACGTTTGGACAAGAACAACTGAAATCCTCCTAACTCAGTTCCACTCTTCAGAGAGACTTGTGTTCCAGGAACTCCGTCCACACTCCCCCCTTCAGCAAAGAAGCATCAGCAGCAGCATTGTCATGCCGAAATGGCTGGCCGTCCCATTCAACATGGATCACAGCAACTGGGTCCATACAACCTCAAAGTTCGGATCGCTTCATTCTAGATCGTTTTAGACAAGTTGCGAATTGAGAGTTGACATTTTCCACGTTAAGATTCCCGCAGGAGAATAAATCGAGGCTTTCAGTGACTCAGGATGGATCAACTCCGTGACGACGAATCATCGACACCTTCGGCATCTGGTCAGACATTTCGTCTTCAAGTTAATGGCAAAGTTGTCCTCATATTGGCCCGCTTCCGGATACTGATTAGCCTTTCTCTCTTCGGCGAATATGCCATTACGACTCTTGTCTACTTCTGTGGGTTTCCTGAAGGCAGAGATGGAGTCAGCACAGATCGTTTAACTTGACTGATAGTTGAAGTTCCTACAATCTACTGAATAGGCCTCGCCATTCAAGATGTTTCCCAATCTAGTTTGTATCGCAGTTTCGACCTTATCTGGGCTTCACAGCCCCCGCCCACGACAAGATTGAAAAGTGGATCGGTCTCTTCGCATGGCAACATGTCAACAATTATCTTCAAGGAAGCAAAGACCTTCAAGTAGAGCCAGGCTGCTTCAATGTCAGACATTTATAGATGGACCTATATTTGTTATTACAATCGATGGTTTCAAAGTCAACACCAGGTTCTGAATAACAACTTAAATGAGCCTATGCCATTTAACTTGATGTAAAGACTGGTGATTGAACGTACCACAAAAAACTCGCTGTCAAATGATCTTATGTACTAACAACAGATAGCATCGAAACCTACAAATTGGATAGGTCTGGCGGAATGAATTTCAAGTTCAGGAATGTCCTACAGCATCGACAACATTTCCATTCTTGGCTACGTATCGACAAGAATAACTTGTTTTCAAAATGTGGTGATTTTTGAATAAAAACGTACTCATTCTACATCACTTTAGACAAGTTGAGAATTAAGAGTTGCAATTTTCCACGTTAAGCTGATTAGGCTACACGATGCCATTAATAAATTTATCTAAACCCAACAACTTTTCGTATCCACAATATACATATGGTTCAAAATCTTGTCAATTGTCTTAACGCTACAATATAACGAAGAAAACTTTAGTCTGGCAACTTAATATAATTATACTTTTATAAATGTGAATTTCTGATAATATTGTTCCTAGATGTTGTTTACTCGGTAGGCGTTTTGATCTACCAAGTTCCATTAATAAGGAACTTGATCGGGAACCACAATAAACTCGGTGTCAAATGATCTTATGTACTAACAACAGATAGCATCGAAACCTACAAATTGGATAGGTCTGGCGGAATAAATTTCAGGTTCATGAATGTCCTACAGCATCGAAAACATTTCCATTCTTGGCCACGTATCCATCAGAATAACTTGCT